GGCCCCCAAGGGGTCCAAATCGGGGCCCCAGAGACTCCCAAGAGGCCCCAAAGCCAACCCAAAACAGACGAGGCCTCCAACCAACGACTAAGGCGCGGTGGCGGAATGGGCCGAAGGCCACAAGTTACCCTGAGACCTGGTCCTTGCAGTTGTTTCACACCGGGCGTTTTCGCCCTCGTCGGTCCCATGCTACTCCGCAGATTGATCTGGCTCGGAAGATGCAGCAGACAAAATTGGTCTGCGGCTCTGGTCGTGATATTCTGAGATGCCATCTGTTTTGCAATGTCGGATCTCCGGGCAGCCCCTCGAATGATCGCGTCACGAAAAAATCACGGCGGAAAAAATGGGCCGTTTTCGGTCTCCGAGGCCTCGCCGTGGGCACGAGACCGTCACAGAATGACCCGGGATGAGGAGCCAATCCCCGCGGCAGCGGCCGGGAGTTCTGGTGAGCCCGACCCGGCAAAAAGGAGAGCATCGGAGGTCTGGGTAGGAGGAGGAGGAGGAGGAGGAGGAGGAGGAGGAAACGGAGGAAACGGAGGAGGGGGAAGAGGAGGAGGAGGAGGAGGAGGAGGAGGAGGAGGAGGAGGAGGAGGAGGGGGAGGAGGATGGAGGACGAGGAGGAGGAGGAGAAGGAGGAGGAGGAGGAGGAGGAGGAGGAGGAGGAGGAGGAGGAAGAGGTGGGGGAGGAGGAGGCCCATATCTTTGATGGTGCATGTTTTTTCCAGCCCCAGGGGCTTTCCCGTTCCGTTTCTGCTCCTGGGAGCTTTCCTTCGGGCCTCCGAGTCAGCACAGATGGACCGCCGAGGGCGGAGAACTACCCTTAAGGGGCAGGAGCCTCTTCTGCGAGGTAGCGCACTGACAAAACCATTTCGCCTGATGTCTCGGTACGGGAATCTGGCCATCGCTCGGACGTCCATTCCCTGTGTTTTTCTCGGTTTCGTGCGTGTTTTTTCGCCAAAGGCAAAATGCACACGTCTGAACGATGCCAGGGAATTGTTTTCCGCCGTTCCTGGCCTCTGGGGGCCGCGATGGGGTCAACTCCCGCCTGGACGGTTCAGATCCCAGACGGTACGAAAACTGGAACGGTTCAGATCCCAACCGCCGGAGACAACTCTGTTTGAAGTTGTTTTTGTGTGATCATCTTGGCCATCAAAATCGCATGGTATCCCTTCAAGAAACTGAGACGGTTGTTATAGTGCGCAATCGGGATCTAGACCATTCCACTGCCCTGTGATATGCGAGTTCTGAGTGATTCGTGACTGCCCCGCATAGGTACAGGGCGCTCCAGGACGGCAACGTATACGAACATATAAGAAACGGATACGAAGTTCGATGGAACGTATACGAAACGTACGGGGCGTGTATGCGAAACTTGTGAGACACTTCTGCGGAACGTCTGCGAAACGCTTATGCAACGTATGCAAAACGTAGGCGCAGCGTGTACGAAACGCATCCGCAAAAAATATATGGCACATAGATACAACGTGCATGACACGTAAAATAAACGTACATGACATGTACATGAAACGTAGATGATGCGTAGCTGAAGCAGATACGAAACGTATAGCAATCAATCAAACAGCATGTATGAAACGTAGATGGGCCGCGTTCGAAACGTGTATGCAACGCATATGACACGTATGACAAGAGCCGATGCAACGTATGTATGGCATGTACATGGCATGAATGGTGAACATACCAAACGCGTATGACACCTATACGGCACCAATCTGAAACGTATACGGAACGCATAGTAACGTGTACGCAACGTATACGAAGAATGCATAGCACGTATACGCAACGAATTCGAGACAAGGTTCGGCGCATTTCCGATAGAAATCTACTTTAACGCTGAATAGAATATGAAACCCTGCTGGGGGCTGGGATCAGTGCATTTCCTACTGGATTCTGGTTTGGAAGCGAAATAGATTGAAGATTTCTGCGGGAGGCTGGTGCCAGCGCGTGTCTGGTTGACTTTCTATTGGCACACACATACAACATGTGATAATTCCGCGGGAGGCTGGGATCTTCGCAATTCCTGTTGGGCTCCGATTGACGGCGCATGTCCTATTGGACCTTCGATTCAAGAACAAGTCAACATGAGAATCCTGCAGGAGGCTGGGGTCGGCGCATACTGTATTGAAGTCCGGATGGGGCACACATAGAAGATACAAGAGTTCTGCTGGAGGCTGGCTGGGATCGGCGCACGCTCTATGCATTGCCTTCCCAATGAAAGCCTAGCCGGGTATTGAATACTGAAGCTGGCGGATGGGACCCTCGCATTTCCTGCTGAATCCCGATCGAAACCGCATAGAGCATATTAAATACTCCTGCGGGTGGCTGGGGTCAGCGCATGTCCAATTGAATTCTTAATGACAAGGCAATCGTAGATTGAGAAATTCAACTGGGCGCTGGGATCGGCGTAGTTCCTACTGGGTTCTCGACGAGCAAACATGGTAATCCTGCGGGAGGCCGGGGTCGGCGCGCTTCTTATCGAAGTCCGAATTGGACAAACACAGGATATGACATAATGTAGCTGGGTTCTGTGATCGGCGCGTGTCCTATCCCTGTGTTTTGCGGACCAAGACACGTCGAACATGAAATAGGTCAGCCAGAGGCTGTGACCGGCGCATTTCCGATTGAATTCCACTGCGGATTACATATCCAAGAATTTCGCGGAGGGGCAGGGGGCAGGGGCCAGCGGACTTGAATCGGATTCCTACTGAGACTGAGAGGCAAATAGGATATCAAATAATTCTGCTGGACAGATGCACGCCAATGCGTCAGGCGTGCCAAATGGCTGCGCAGCAACGCGCGAGACACCTTCCTCCAGCCTCCCCCACGAACAATCAGGAATCCTCAGGGATCCTCCGACCCCCCATGAGGAATCCGCAGGAATTCTTAGAACCCTCTGGCATCCTCAGGAATCCCATAGGAATGCTTAGAAATGAATCCCTCAGGAATCATTGGGAATCTTTCCTACGAGTCCCCAGGAAACCTGCAGGAACCCTCGGGCATCCTCCAAGAAAATCCCTTAGGAATCCTTAGGGTTCCAAGAGGGTTCCAGGAATCCCTGAGGAATCCTCAGGCAGCCGAAGAGGAACCCACAGGATTCCTTCACGCCTTCTATTAAGCGCCCTGAGGAAACTGAGAAGACGCCTTCGAGGAAGCGTCTCTCGAACGCCTATGAAGCGCTTACAAACTATATTAAGCTCCGTTGGGATCTGAACCGTACTGGTCTTATTACCGATTCGGATCTGAGCCGGCCGGCTGGGATCTGAACCGTGCCGTCGGGCTCTGAACCTCTCTTGTCCCCGGAGCCGCCAACAGAACGGCCCAGGATGGCCCACCCTGACCCGCCCACAAAGCGGCCCGTCCTGGGCCAGCCTGGGGGCCCTCGCCAGGCTCCCCCCCTGCCCCGGCTCCTCCAGCCCCGTGCGACGGCCCCACGCCTGGCTCCCTGAGGCTGTGCGGCGCCTGCGCCCACTCGGCCGCCGAAAAGGGCTCCGGCTCGAGCCGGCTGGGCGGCCGGACGGGCCGACCTCCCGTCGCCGTGCCCGGCCCTTGCTCGGCTCCTCCTTTGTCGGCGGCCGGGCGGGCTCCGGCGCGGGACGGGCTCCAAGGGACCACCCTGAGATCCGACGTCGCAGGAAAGCGCAAGACCTCGGCCAATCACGGCCAGAGCCCCAGTCCCCATCTGTCCGCGGCGTGCGCTTCTCGGGCCAGACCGCTCGTGGTGGACCGGGGGCCCGAAATCTGGCGAACATGCCCAGGGTGACCGGAATTGCAGCGCACGGATCTCAGCGCCACGGGCAGGTCCAGATCTCTGGGGGCCCCAGGCCCGTGCTGACCCGTAGATCCGATGTCCAATTTGCTCAATACGGGGTTCCTGGAAACCTCGACCGGTTCTACAAGGCCGGCTTCTCATCCCGAGTCGTTCTCTGACGGTCCCGCAGCCCGGCGAGGGTCTCCAGAGGCCGAAAAAGTAGAAAACCCTCCGCCTTGCATTCGTGCTCGATTCGTTGGATCTCTGGGGAGACTCAGCTACACGCAAGAGGGACCGTACCCATCGGTCGGAAGGAATAGGTAGGATCATGATGTAGAAAGGCGTTGAAGAAAGATTGGGCTTCCGCGCGCCCCCTGAAGAGGACGGAAATATGAAGCCACTCGATCATTGAAGTAGGAAGGCGCTTAAAGTAGATTGGAATATGGGAATCCAAAAACACCTATTTTCACTACTTTCAAGGACCGATGGGCAAGCAAGATTGACCTGTGGTCCTTTGGCGCACGGCCTGCTGATCGTTGACAGTCTGGTGCCACAGCGCCAGCCTGCGTGCCTGGATTCGGCCCCCACGCACCCGCCGAAAGCCGCGCATCTCAAAGGCCACGCCAGCAGAGGGTCACCCACTTATCGGGCGTTGGCAGAACTGGGTTTAGTGGGACCTGGTCTAGTGATGTATACTGGGGGGCGCCTTACGGCAGACTTGGTTTAGTGATTCTAGTAAATTTAAAGGCTCCAGGGCCCCACTACTAACCGGGTCCCCTTACCTGGCGTCCTGGCTACACCCGATCTTAGAAGCATCCGAAATAGGATCGGGGTAGATGGGGTCGGAGGATCGCGCCGCATCGACGATACACCGGCGACGTCGACGTGAAGCAAATCGGGCTACACATCGAGCAACATCGGTGATGCATCGGCGACGTGGCGCGATCCTCCGACCCCATCTACTCCGACCCCATCCAGGACTAGGTCGGGCATGCCCCCCTCCAGGCGGATTTTGGACGACGAGTTAGAAATACCTTAACCATATCTCAAGAATGCTCGAACATAGTGAAAACATATCGTTCCCAGACTATTTGTTTCACTATTTTGCAAATTCCTCCTGTAGAGGGTTTTAAAGATATGTTTGCATATTCCCCCTCTAGAGGGACAGGCCCGACTTACACCTGGGAGGTCGAGATCTCTGGCCGGTAGTCGACATAATCTCGAGGCGTCGGACGCCTGGTGCCGAGGCTCGTTGCCGCGGTCGCCGGCCCGCGGCGGGCTGCCGGCGCCGCCCGCGCCGGCGCGAGGCGAGGCGCGGGCGGCCTCCTCCAGCCTGCGCTGGAGCACCACGCGGGGCCCGTTCAAGAGTGCACTAGGCCGGAAACTGGAGCACATGCATGACCAGCGGCGGGCCGTTTTTCCATCCCACGACTTTTCGAGGGTCGGGGACGACGTCGGGGCGGTCTGGTGTACACTTTTTCCCCGTTTCCGCGTGGAGTACCACGTGGGACCCTGCTGATTTCTTCTTGCGCGTCGCGCGGCGCGCCACGGAATTTGTTTTTTTCATTTGTGCGAGGTGCTAAAGGTATCGCTCTGCGAAAACGGGCCCCTGAAAATATTAAGTCTTGGTGCGGTGCTAACGATGACCCCAGGGGGGTTCTTGAGGGCTTGCCGGGGTTACAGTAGGGGCCCGTCCACAGGAAGCCTTACACAAGGAACCCAGCCCTGAGACCCCAGGACGTCCGTCGATTTTGGGTGTGGGAGCGTCACGCTTTCCGTGGCAAGAAAAATTATCGGCACCCAGGAAACCCAGGGCACCCTGGAGGCAAGCAGGGTGTTTCTTAGCATGGGCTTCCACTGTAGGAATGTACCGTGAGCGGATCTACCCTTTCTCCGACAGTGCGCTGCGACGAACGCAACGGACCACAAAGGTGTCTACATGTCTATCTAACGGCACCCAGAGTGTGCAGGGACGCTCGTGGCTAGAAGGTGGGAGCCGTGCTCGGCATAGGCTTCAGATATTGGCCTTCTAGACGCAGGCCGGTTTTGCCCTCAAAAGCCTGCGGGCGTCGAAGGAGTAGATGCCCTCCAGGTCGTCGGGCGTGGAACACGAGGACGGGGAGGAGGGGCCGGAGCAGCCGCCGGGCTCCGAGCCTGAGGGGTCCCAGACCTCCAACGTCATGACACACTCAAGACGGCGTTTTTTCGTCGGTTGCGGCCTCGCGAGCCCTCGGAGTCTTGAGAATATCAAGCCGCCGACTGCTCAAAATTGAACCATCCACGCGGTCTCAGAATCCAGCGCTGAAGTCGTCACGGCACGAGCCCGCCGTAGATGTATGGCGGAAGTTTTGAATCATCTTTGGCCTCCAGGAGCCCTCGCCGGACCCCGGGACTGTCAAAACACGACTCAGGGTGAAAGGCTGGTACTGGGAGTGGGTCGGAACCTTTAGGGACCCCGCATGGGACAAATCAAGACGCTGGATGTCTTGGGGGGGCGAAGATCGGCGGCGAGCCCCGCAGGGGGGAAGTGACAGGGGGCAGGCCTCCCCAGAAAGCACGCCTTCTCCGAAACCGCAGACGGCTGCTCAGCAGAGGCGGGAGCTTCTGGGAGAGGCCGCCTTCTGAGAAAGCCTGCCCCCGCTCGCTTCCCCCCTGAGCTCGTAGCCGACATCGCCTCATGTCGGGCCGCGGGGCCACCACACATCGACTCAGCGCGCAACGTGCAGCAGACGATGGGGTCTGAGGCTTCACGATTGAATGTATTTTTTTGAAACAAGAATAATATATTTCTTTCTACAGACGTCGGATCTCATGGCAAATGCCCCTGCTCCACGGACCTCTCCCGAGGTGCGTTCTGACCAAGACTTGGCGGCGAACGCTCTCCGGGACGAGCAGCGGTCTCGGTACCTCCCCGAAGATCCAGCGCTGCGGGGGGAACAACAGAAAAACAGATCACGACCAGAACACTTGACCCCATCCTCCAAAGCCCTAGACCCCATCCTCCTGCGGTGTTGTTCAAGCCATATCGATCTGTGATGATGGCCCCAGGGCCCGAAACTGGGCAGCCTGGTGCGAAATACTGCAGCGCCTGAAGACATGATTCAGTGTTTCCCGTAACGGTCGTTACCCGGAGGGGGTGAGGGCTACGGGCCCCAGAAACGGTATGATTTGTCCCCACCAGCCTGCAATGTTGGATCCTCGTTTTGAAAAGACAGCGCCCCGCGTTCTTCTCCCGCCTCCTTCCTCCCGCTTCCTCCCTGCTCCCATCTGTGCCTCTGCTGTCCGCACGCCCGCACTTTCGGCGCACCCCTCACACGGTTTGTGGCCCCATAGGGAGCTCTACTGAAGGCCCCAGAGGCGAACATCACATGCGCCCACCCCGCCCACCGCATGTCCATGTCGGCATAAGTAACCCTCGCAAGGTTCGTGGCCTCGTAAGAGCTCCACCGGAAGCCCCGCGGCAAAATCCACATGCGCCCACCCCGTTCTCCGCGTGTCCATGTCGGCACACTTGGCCCGTGTTCGTGGCCCCATAGGGAGTTCCACAGAAAACCCCCAAAGGCGAAAACCACATGCGCCCACCCCGCCCGCCGCAACTCCATGTCGGTATGCCCCTCACACGGTTCGTGGCCCCATGAAGACCCCAACCGAAGGCCCCAATAGCAGAGTCTACATGCGCCCAACCCGCCCGCCGCATGTCTATTTTGGCGCAACCGTCACACGGTTCGTGGTCCCATAGGGAACTCCATCGAAGGTCCCACAGGCAAAGTCCACATGCGCCCACCCCGCCCACCGCAGATATATTTCGGCACGCGCCTCCCGTGGTTCGTGGTCCCATGTTGAATGCCCCACATGCAAACTCCACATGCGCCCGCCCCGCCCGCCGCATGTCAACTTCGGCACACCCTCACACGGTTCGTGGTCCCATAGGGAGCTGTGCCGAAGGCCTCAGGGGCAAAGTCCACATGCGCCCACCCCGCCCGCCGCGTGGCCATGCCGGCATACCCCGTACACGTGTTGTAGCTTCCCTAGGGAAGCCACACCGACGGCCCCACAGGCAAAGTCCACATTCGGCCCCATGCCCACCGCATGTCAATTTCGGCACACCCCTCGCACGGTTCGTGGCTCATACGGAACTGGGCCGGAGGCCCCAGAGGCAACGTCCACATGCAGTTGGAAGCAGCTGGAACAGTTTGCGCCGCGCACGAAACCGTGCAGGAGGGAGGCGACGGCCCTCGCCAAGGAACTAGGCTTCACTGAGTTTCTCCGTGAGGCCTGACCTGGGGAGCTGGCCCGCTCGAGCAGCGCCTTCTCTCGATTGTCCGACCGTTTGGCCTCGCGCCTCGGGCGACCCGCGCGCGTCGCTGGAATCTCTCAGAGCGACCAGCTCGCGTCGCGGGAACTCCGTGCTGCGCTCTGCCCAGCGCCTCGCTCGCCTGTCGTCGCTGCCCAGCGGCCGGAGCCTTGCGCTTTATCTGCCAGGCAGCTAGCTCTCTTTGCCCCGCGCAGCGGGCGACCCGCGCGCGTCGCTGGGACCCTTTGGGGGCGACCGGCGCGCGTCGTGGGGACTCCGCGCTGCGCTGCGCCCGCAGCCTTGAACTTTGGAGTGCGCGGGCAAATAAAATGAAAAAGAAGGGAAGGGCTATCTTGGATGGTTTAGCTTTCCTCGTGCCACCCCATCGAACAGATCGCGGACAGAAGAAACCGCGCCGAAGGCCCTATAGGAAATTCCACCGGAGGCCCCGGTGGCAGCGCCCGCGTGCCGCCGCCATCCCCTTATGGCACGCCCCTTTCTTCCTTCCGATCGCTTGACGCGCGCCCGCGGTCGGGCGGCGCGCCCAGCCTGGCCGCCCAGCGCGGACACATATAGCTCCCGCAGGTGGGCCTCCTAGGGCCCAGCCCGCGGCGGCCCCTCCCCACGGCCAGGGGGCGTGGCTGATGGCGCCCGTCGCTGCCGCGGGGGGCCCCTTCCCGCCAGCCCCCCGGGGAAGGGGTTCCCCAGCAACCCCCCCAGCGCCGGGCTGGACGTGTGTGCCGCTCGGGGGGGGTTGCCTCCGGCAACCCCGCTTGGGGCGGGTGGCTGCGCGGCATCGGGCCGGGCCCACGACGGCGGCAACCCCAGACACCCCCGAGCCCGCCGCTGGACGCCCCCAGCGGCGCCCGGAGGCGGTCCGCTGCAGGAATCGCATAACCATGCTGCAGCGTTACGTTACACCTGAGCTGGCAGCCCCCCAATGTCCGCCGGCGGCCTCCAGGGCCCCCAGGTCGTCCGATCCGCTCGCGAAGAACCCCAGCAGGGCCGACCCCCAGCCGGGGCCGCCAGGCCCTGGGGGTCGCCCGGGGGGCCCCATGGGCCCAGACATCCGACGTCTCGAATTTTCCGAGACGAGGGCTCCCGATCTCCCGACCACTTCCCCGGGACCGGTTCTTCGCCCCGAGTCGTTTTCTGACGGCCTCCGAGGCCCGGCGAGGGCCCCGAGAGGCCGAAAACGACGAAGAACCTCCGCCTCGAATTTTTCGTGACGCCCGATGTCTGGGGGAGCGCCCGCGTGCCCCGCCGATCGCGCGCGCGGGGTTGCCATCCGCGGGCCGCGGCGCGGCCGCGGGGGCCCCGGGGCGGGTCCCGCAGCGCGCTGCGCCCCCAGACGAGCCTCCGGCGCGGGAGACCGCCCGGGCCGCCGCGCCGCGCCCCCCCCTCGTCGCGGGAGGAGGAGGAGGAGGAGGAGATGGCGGTAGGAGAGGAGGGAGGAGGAGGAGGAGAGGGGGGAGGAGGAGGAGGAGGAGGAGGAGAGGAGGAGGAGGAGGAGGAGGAGGAGGAGGAGAGAGGAGGAGAAGGAGGGAGGGGGAGGGGCGGAGGGGGGAGGAGCGGGAGCGAGGAAAGGAGAGAAGGAAGGGAGGATGGCCGTTCAAGCCCCCAAGGGCGGGGGGGGCTGGGAAATGCCTCTGGTTGACCGTACCCCCTCCCCCCCCCCCCGCACGGCCCCGGGGCAGAGCAGCGAGGACAGGGCCGGGCAGCGGGACGGCCCCGAGGGGTCCAAGGCCAGCGGGCGGCCCCTGTAGGACCCAGGGCGGGAGGAGGGACCATGCGCCACGGGGAGCTCCACCGAAGATGCTCTGATTCACGACTGCGGTACTCACGGCTGCACATGGTTGGGTCCTTCGCAACATGCAGGGCAATCTCCAATACGGTGTCCTTGGAGGTCTCGACCCTTCCCCCCGGGCCGTTTTTCATCCCGGGTCGTCTTTTGTCGGCCCCGGGGCCCGGCAAGGGCCTCCAGATGACGAAAACGGCGAAAACAAGGCGTCTTCTAGAACTTGTTTCTCCCAATCATCCTGTGGTATTGGGTCCTCGTTTTGAAGAGACGTCGCCCCGTGTTCCTCTCCTCCTCCTCCTCCTCCTCCTCCTCCTCCTTCTCCTCCGCTCATTTCGGCACACGCCTCACACGTTTCGTGGCCTCACAGGGAGCTCCACCGAAGGCCCCAGTGCCACCGCCCGCATGCGTCCCCCACACCCATTTCGGCACACCCCTCACAAATATCGTGGCCCCATCGGGAGCTCCACCGAAGGCCCCAGTGCCACCGCCCGCATGCGTCCCCCACACCCAGTTCGGCACACCCCTCACACGCTTCGTGGCCCCATAGGAAGCTCCACCGCAGGCCCCAGTGCCACCGCCCGCATGCGTCTCCCACACCCAATTCGGCACACCCGTCACACGTTTCTTGGCCTCATAGGGAGCTCCACCGAAGGCCCCAGTGCCACCGCCCGCAAGTGTCCCCCACGCTCATTTCGGCACACCCCTCACACGTTTCGTGGCCTCATATGGAGCTCCACCGAAGGCCCCAGTGCCACCGCCCGCATGCGTCCCCCACACCCAGTTCGGCACACCCCTCACAAATGTCGTGGCCCCCATCGGGAGCTCCACCGAAGGCCCCAGTGCCCGCGGCCGCATGCGTCCCCCACACCCAGTTCGGCATACCCCTCACACGACTCGTGGACCCATAGGGAGCTCCACCGAAGGCCCCAGTGCCACCCACCGCCCGCATGCGTCCCCCCGCACATTTCGGCACACCCCTCACACGTTTCGTGGCCTCACAGGGAGCTCCACCGAAGGCCCCAGTGCCACCGCCCGCATGCGTCCCCCACGCCCATCTCGGCACACCCCTCACACGTTTCGTGGCTCCATCGGGAGCTCCACCGAAGGCCCCACACCCATTTCGGCACAGCTCTCACACGTCTCACGGCCCCATAGGGAGCTCCACCGAAGGGCCCAGTGCCACCGTCCGCATGCGTCCCCCACACACAGTTCGGCACACCCATCACACGTTTCGTGGCCCCATAGGGAGCTCCACCGAAGGCCCGAGTGCTACCGCCCGCATGCGTCCCCTCCACTCAGTACAGCGCTTCGTGGCCCCACAGGGAGCTCCACCGAAGGCCCCAGTGCTACCGCCCGCATGCGTTTCCCCCCCACTTAGTGCAGCGCTTCGTGGCCCCATGGGGAGGTTCCCCGGGTGGGTCCCCGGGTTCCCCAAGCATTGCCAAACACTGCGCCCAGACAATACATAGGACGCTTTCCCCCAATTGGGGTCGCGCCGGGCTCCTTTTCCGGGCGAAGGACCCCACCAGATTCAAGTGCGAGTGCTACAAGGCAGGCGGAACAGAGGAGGGGTGGGGCCACGTGGGCAGGGGCTGTGGAGCTCCCTGTGGTGGGCCACGAAGCGTGTGAGGGGTGCGCCCGACATGGGCGGGGGGACGCAGGCGGACTGTGCCACTGGGGCCTCGGGTGGAGCTCCCTGTGGTGGGCCACGCAGCGTGTGAGGGGTGCGCCCGACATGGGCGGGGGGACCCAGGCGGACTGTGCCACTGGGGCCTCGGGTGGAGCTCCCTGTGGGGCCACGCAGCGTGTGCAAGGTGTGCCCGAATGGGCGGGGCGACGCAGGCGGACTGTGCCACTGGGATCTTGGGTGGAGCTCCCCATGGGGCCACGAAATGTGTGAGGGGTGTGCCGGAATTGACATGCGGAGGTGGCACGCAGGCGACGCATGCGGGTGGTGGCACTGGGGCCTTGGGTGGAGCTCCCTTTGGGGCCGCGAAACGCGTGCCGGAGTGGGCGGGCGGACGCACGCGGACTGTGCAGTTGGGGGCCGTGGGTGGAGCTCCATTATGGGACCCTGGAGCGCGCGAGGGGACGCCTGCGGACTGTGTGCTGCTGGGGCCTTGTGTGGAGCTCCCCAATGGGGCCCCGGAGCGTGTGAGGGGTGTGCGAGATGGGCGGGGGGACGTCTACGGACTGTGCCACTGGGGCCTTGGGTGGAGCTCCCCAACGGGGCCACGAAGCGTGTGAAGGGTGTGCCCGAATGGGCGGGGAGACGCAGACGGACTGTGCCACTGGGATCTTGGGTGGAGCTCCCCATGGGGCCACGAAATGTGTGAGGGGTGTGCTCGAATTGACATGCGAAGGGCAGCAGCAGCAGCAGGAGCAGAAGAACGGACAGGAGGAGGAAGGAGACGCGGGGCGATGCGTACGCAAAACGAGGACCCAACACCGCAGGATGGTTGGGGACAGGCTCAGATCTCGGGGTCTCTTCTCGGCTACGCGCAAGAGTGACCCTGGGCAAGAGCGACCCTTGGTGCGAGGCTTTCGCGGGCCGCGGGGGAGGCCAACTGTAAGCCATCTCAGCGCGACAGCCGGTGCTGGCGGGACCCCTGTGGGCCCGCACTGGAGCTCACCCCGGCGAAAGGGCGGAAGGTCCCTCCTACGCGTAGTACAATTTTACCAGCCTCGAACGTATCCCTATCCCTAAGATCGACACGGCAAAAGGCGATGACAATCTTAGGGATTCGCCCTCCAAAAATCAGGGAATCCCTAAGATTGGCATCGTGATGAGGAGGTGCCCAGCATAGGGATAGGGATATGTTCCAGGCCTGGTAATCTTACGCGTAGTCGAATTTCCCTCCGCCGCGAGCCCTGCGAGCCGTACAGGCGGTAGCCCAGCGGGCCCTCGACCCCTGCCGGCGGACCGCCCGTGGCGCCGGCCGCCGGCTGCTGGGCGGGGGCGCCGGCTGCGCCGTGGCTCGTGCCTGGAGGTCGCTGAAGCCCAGATCCCCGACGACATGTTTTTTTCAATTGCGGTGCTTGTCCTTCATGCTTGGAGCGCCGCGGGGGGTTTTAAAAGAGGGTCGGGATGTTCTAAGCGGTTGCTAGGGTGGGTTGTATCTGGCCTAACCTGGGGCGTAGGTGGGTTGCGAGTGCCCTGAGTGGCGTAGGCGGATTAGATACCTCCGCTAACTGGGCGGAGCCCCCTCAGCCCAGATCTGTGCCCCGTAAGCTGCGCAGGGCACTTGCAGGCCACTTCTATGCCCGATACAACCCACCTTAGCATTCCCCTTAGCACCCCTGGCGGTGAATCAAGCATGGGTCACTTTTTGGGCCCGGGACCATCAGAGATATATCGGGGAAGGGAAAACTACCCCCCGGGAAGGGGTCGGGACCCCTGGCGCCGCGGATTGAACACATCATATATGGGGATGCCTGGGAATGGGGCCGGAGCGCGATAAGGGTCGGAAGATCCGAGCTGGGTCGCCGATGCATCGGTAAGACGATGGCGTGGAGAGCACGAGGGTCCAGATCGAGCCGCACCGCACACGAATCGCAAATGTATTGTTTCAACCCCCGGCCCCACGAGGTCCCGACCGCTTCCTTGGGGGTAGCTCTGCGTCCCAGATCCATTCTTGATGGTCCAGTGACCCCATAATGAACCCGAGAGGCCGAAATCGAGGAAAAACACCCGGATTGAACCATTCAGATCTTCGGAGGTCTGGGCCTACTGTGGCCCCGATAGGGGGGCCTGGAGTGCCCGAGCGCCCCAACTCCCAGACCCCAGCGTCATGATTTGCTCACAACCTTGAACCTTGGAGGTCTCGACCCGTTCCCCAGGACCAGCTCTTCATCCTGAGAACCGATTCTTGACGGTCCCGCGCGTGGCCCTGCGAGGGCCCCAAGAGGCCGTCGTGATTTCCTGCACGACGCGAAGGGGTATGGCTTGTGTGTGCCGGAGCCTGGTGGGCCAGAACCAGCGGTGTCACACGCTCGCAAAAGTCCCCGACAGCAGAAATATGCCAACGCCGCTGCTTCAGGGCCCTCTCCTGGGGTGATCAAGCGCCTACGAGGGAAGCGTAGCTGTATCGGTACTTTTCCCTCCTCTGGCCCATACATCCGATGTCTTGAGTTCTCCAATGCGGTGTCTCCGGAAACCCCGACACTTTCTACAGAACCAGCTTTCCGTCCTGAGTAGTATTTTGACGGTCCCAGGGCCTGGCGAGGGCCCCCTAGAGGCCGAAAACGACGAACAACCTCCGCCTTGCTCTTTTCAAGACGTTGTCTGGTAACGTCTACGGCGGGCTCGTGTCGTGACGACCCCGCCGTTGGGTTCTGGCATCGCGTGCATCGTTCAACCTTGAACGATCGGCGGCCACATCGTTCCAGACTGTCCGATTCTGGAAACCAGCGGCAATGGCCTCAAGAGGCACCCGGAGACAGTGCCCCAGGAAGCCCTCGAATAACGTCTTGCTTTGAGCACCCCCCCCCCTGTCCTGCGAGGCGCAGCCCCGTGGGCCACCAGCTACCAAGACTCGGGCTGTCAGGAAATTCCCCGAAGTTCCATGGAGTGGGGGGAGCAGCGAACCTCACGAGCAGAACTGGCCCCGATTGGGTGGCCTGTTTGGCATGATTAACTCTGGCTTTAGGTGGGGCCTGTCCCCCTACAGGCCGATTTTTGACGAAAAAGAAAATACCCCAACACAATGCTCAACAATAGGCCAAACATCGTCCCTGATTATTTTTTTGGCTATTTTTGAATGTTCCCCCTGTAGAGTAACAGGCCCGACATAACACTTCGGCTGGGGCGTCTGCCTAAAGTGCCCCACGAAGCAACACACATGCAGAACTTCAGACATTGGCAGTACGGGAGGCCTCCTAGATGGCGTCCGAGTAGTTTTAGGTCGGGCATGTCCCCCTACAGGCGGATTTTGGACGAAAAATAAAACATAGTCCAAACGTACTCCCACATGGTCAAAGAGAGTAGAAGCATCGTCCCCACACGATTGTTTACTATTTTGGAGTATTCCTTCTGTAGAGGGACACGCCCGACTTAAGAGCAGATGGGGGTCGGTGGATTGCACCACACCGCCGAGGTCTCGCCGATGCATCGGCGGCGTCGGTGTGGCGAACCTCGGGCTCATCGAGCTGCATCGCCGGTGCACTGCCGATGCACCTCGGCAGTGCCTCGGCGATGCGGCGCGACCTTTCGACCCCAGCTGGTAGGCCTAGAACTAATTACGCACATCCACAAAGCCGTGCACCCGAGTGGACGCACAGGCATCTGCAAGCACGAGACGTGCCCACTGGCACGCTCGCGAGAGAGCGGGAACGATGCCAACACGCGTGCTTGCCGTGGCCAGGGGGAGGGGGAGAGGGGGAGAAGGGGATGGGTGGGATGGGGGGGGGAGAGGAGGGGGAGGAGAAGGGGGAGGGATAGCAGGGATGGGAGGGGGAGAGGGAGGAGAAGGGGGAGGGGAGGGGGGGGAGGGGAGAGAGAAGGGGGAGGGAGGGGTGGGGAGCCCCGATGAAGGCGGCCCCGAAATGCTGCGCGGCCTGTGGCGCCCCAGGGCGAGGCCAGCCACGGCGAGCGGTGCGCCGCGCCGCGCTCGGGCAGCGCGTCCGGGCGCGGGTCCTCCGCCGCGCGCGCCGCGAGCGGGCACGCCGCCGCGGCGCCCGGCGGCTGCTGCCCGCCCGCCGCCGCGCGCACCGCCGGGGCGTGCATCGGAGCCCGCCGCCGGCGCCGGCCGCCGGCGCGGCAGGGGCTGCGCCGTGGGATCCTGGCGCGTCTCGACGGGGCTCGAGCCCGGCGCTGTCGCGTGCTCGAGCGGGCCCCCCGGGGGGCTCTCGCAGAGCCAGGGATCCAACGCATCGGAGAAATCGAGACGGCGGGTTCTCGCAGATTTCGGCCCCTGGGGGCCCCCAGGACCGTCAAAAAACTGCTCAGGATGAAAAACCGGCATCGGGGAATGGGTCGGGACTTCTGGGGACCTCGCATTGCAAAAATCACGACCTCGGATCTCTGGGGATGGATCCGGCTGGAAAGCATGGCGCAGGAAGATGGGGTCTACGTGGGGCTCTGGTCGTGATGCTTGGCGACGTTCCAGTTTTCTCGCGGCGTCGGATCTCAGGGTCGGGTCCCACACCTCCAATGCATTCAACAAAATTACCCCAGCAAAGCGACCTCTAGTAGCAGCAGCGGTGAAGAGGCGGGTCGAGGAGTATGAGAAGCACCGCCGTGAAGCCCCGAGGAAGAACATGTGCAGCTGGACCAAGGGTGAGAACATTGCCATGTGCACCGCGCCGTGTTTTTGATGAGTGACCGTGGCCGTCTGGACCAAACATCGTCTGGACCAAGCATGTAGCTGGCATTGAGGCGAAAGCGCGATTCCTGAATCTATTGTACGGACGTCTCAAGCGAAACAGCTGCTGGATCAGGCGCCCTCGGGCTCCCCGTTCCCTTCTGTGTGCTTGACATTATTTGAGCCCTCTAGCGAAACGCTATCAGAAGACAACTCAAAACGGATGTGTAATGGCTGTTTTGGGCGCCAGGTGGCCCTCGCCGGGCTCCGGGACCGCCCCAAGAACGATCTGGGACGGAAAACCAGTCCCCGGGGTGGTCCAGAGGCGGGGAGCCCCCTGTTGAAAACATCAAGGCGTTGGACGTCTGGGAGCGACCCTCGATCGTCTGGGGGCCCTTGCCGGGCCTCGGCGCCGGCAGAAAACGACTCGGCATGGAAGGCCGGTCCCGGGGAACGGGTGGAGACCTGGGGGGGCCGACGTTATGAACAAACTACGACGTCGGGGGTCTGAGATTGCAAGTGCACGCCCGAGCCGAACATGCACTGCACAGTTACCGTGTCGCGGCCGCGGCCCCAGCGCCACGCTGTGCCTGGCAAGCGGATGGCGTGTCGCTCCGCTCCGCGGGGCGGGAGGCAGGGGAAGGCTCGGCACGTGGACGGCTGGACACTGGGACGAGGAGGAGGAGGAGGAGGAGGAGGAGGAGGAGGAGGAGGAGAGGAGGAGGAGGAGGAGGAGGGAGGAGGAGGAGGAGGAGGAGGGGGAGGAGGAGGAGGAGAGGAGGAGGAGGAGGAGGAGGAGGAGGAGGAGGAGGAGGAGGAGTCGCGCCGAAGCGTGGGGGGGGGGCCTATAACTGGCGGGGCGACGCGCGCAGCCACAGTTTTCCTGTCCGCATCGCTACCCCGGGTGGCACGGCCAACACGCGCCCGCCGCCGAGCACATGCTGTGCATAAAGAGTTCGGAGCGCTCGCGTCGCCCCCTGCGGGGGCGATGCGCACAGTTGAACAGGGACCGACCGTCCCGGCATCCCTACAGTCCTACCACGGAATGTTCTGAGAACCCACACATGCTTTAAGAACAAAAACAATGTTCTTAGAACATAAACCCGATTTCGTAAAACAAGACAGTCCCAACCAGAAATGTTCTAAGAACATTTCGTGCATACCACAAAAGGTTCTTAGAACAATGTTTGGTGGGGCTATAGGCGAGCCGGGACGCTCCGCCACTGCTTGACACATAGTACACGCATGTTTGGGCGATGCCGGCAGAGGGGCGGGGGGAAGCGGCGGGGGGGCGCTACGATCACGAGCTGTTCTTAAGCATGGTGCCGGCCATGTGCGCCAAAGTGGGGGTTGGACAGGTGGCGCGGTGCGCCGGAGAGGCGACGGACTGGGTGCCACCGCGGAGGAGCGGGAAGACTCCAGGGGGGGGGCCCTCCACCACCTGCTCTTCTGCTACGCTCCCGCTCCCTCTTCTTCCTCCTCCTCCTCCTCCTTTTACTCCTCCTTTACCTCCTCCTCCTCCTGCTCCTCCTCCTCCTGCTTCTTGTCTCCTGTTTCCTAATGGCTTCAATGTTTTTCAGGCGCAGCCGCTTCCCCCAGGGCTGGCCAAAAACCAGCCCCGAGGGAGTATACTATACAAGTAGACAGAGGTGGCGGCTGCCGCTGGCCGTGGACGGTGGATGGCCACACTCGCAATGTGGGAACGCAGACGCGCCTCTCACCGCGCACATACGGTATTCGGCCTGACCTTATTCAAGCGGGACCCTGTAGGAAGTCCTTCGAAGTGACCCCCGTCACCGCGACTGGTACCCTCCCCTGCAAGCAGGAGTAGGGTTACCCAGACCGCGGATGTGGGGGCCACTTGGGGGGATCTCCATCGTGTTTTGGGGGGGCTCCTGCCTTCCACGGCGGCAGCACGGTGGCCGTGGTGTTCCTCTTCCCCTTCCTCCTGCTCGCGGTCCTCATGTTCCGCTCTCACTCGCATCCTCCCCCAAGGCTCTGCTCCCTGCGCTGGCCGCAGTGCGCTGTGGCTGGGGGCCTTCGGCTGTGGTCGGTCGAGGCTGTATACGTGCGGCACTTCTAAGGCTGCTACCCAGGGTTTCATCGGTCCACCCTATACTTCCTCGGTCCCACACCCCCGTGCTTTTCGCCAAGTCTTCTCGGACTTAGCACGAACCCTCATTGACTCCGCGTGTGGGACAGCCGAGGTGCAAGAGCGGGCGAGGCGGAGCGGGTGCGGTCGGCCATGCAGGCGCCGTAATACAGGGTGAGCAAATGGTCTTCCACCTCGAGTGATGCGCCACTGGCGAAGGCAGGGGCGGCGAACGCGTCTGCCAGCGGTGAGGGGATTGGCGCGGGGTGGGGCTAGGCAACGGTTGATTGTGACCTGATGTGCAACGACCTCCACGGGGCAAGTGCCGTCCAGGCCTTGGGTGCCATCGCAATTGCAATGATGCGCGGGTGCAAAGCCAGCCCGCGGGCCGCAAGTCTGCGTGCCTGGCGGTCGCCACGCGACTTCGCGCAAGACCTGAAGGGCTGAGGGGGCATCGGGATAAGGTCACGCAAGAGAGAAGAGAATGACTCGACCGCTCGATGACCAGCCGAGGCCGACTGATCTGACCGACACCACCCTGGGCGAGTTGGCCAAATGTCCCGGAACCGCCCTGGGCCATCCGGGACCCGCCTACGAGGAAAGCCCCCGCCTGAGCTCCCCCTTTCGGGGGAACTTCGGCGGGAGCGGTCCGCGCAGAGGCGAGAGGAGGGGCAGGATGTCTTGCAGAGGGCGCGCGCCGTTCGCGCCGCAGCCGTACGCCAGGACTCGCCTTGTGGCGGTCTCGGTGGCAAAGCGCACGAAGCCGCGCCCTTGGTGCGTCTTGGTGCAGTCGGCGTCGGTCCCGGCCTCGACGACTACGCTGAAGATGCAGGAGGCGGCTTGGAGAGCCTTGCTGTCGAGGTTGCTGGTGAGATTCTTGAGATAGATGTAATTCGGTTGCCTGCGCCGTCTCTGCCGCAGCAGCCGCAGTCACAGGTGCGCCCCCCCCCCCCCCCCCGTGCAGGGCGTCTTGTCAGCGTGCGGAGGTTGCTGCACGGGCGCGTGTGCGTCCAAACCCTTACAAGACGATTTGACAGCAATCGGGGGCTGGAGCGCTGGTGACAATGGCTGTGCTGTGTCAGGTGCCTCCTGTGGCGGTGATGGAACGGAGCAATGAAAACGCTTGGTACGATCGGCGGGAGTACAAGGCGTGGCTGAAAGTTAGGCGCATCTTTGCTTCATTGCCAAGCTTTGTCTGCGGGCGGCGAACATGTGGGGGGTGTAGCTGAGTTTACAGACTGTTTGGCGACTTTGGACTTTGTCTTGGCATGAGGCGTTAGACCAGTCAGCGCATGTCTTCAACATCGATAGAACCCGAGGTAGCTGCCAGGTGATCTGCCGATCGCGCGCCGACAGAGCCTGTGCGACAGTGAGCCTTCTTGTGCGGGCCAGCGCGAGAGCACGAGGCAACTGAGCATGCCATGGCGAGAAGACTTACAAAGCCTCGAAGCGGTGCGAGACTTGGCTTTGGTGTGCGATCTCGCTCGCCGCGCGGCGCACCCTCCCCTGTGGAGGCTGGCTCGCCGCCCGTCGCCCGCTGCGTGCCCCGCCCACCCCTGTGCCGAGCGGCAACGTGCCGACGCCGCCGAGCGCCACCTCGGGGGCCGGACGGGAGGGGCACGCCCCCGAGTCGGGCAGCGGCTTCCCTCGCCTCCTCCTCCTCCTCCTCCTCCTCCTCCTCCTCCTCGTCCTTCTCCTCCTTCCCCCCCTCTCCCTCCTCCCTCCTGCCTCCTCCCTACTCTCCCTCCCTTCGCTTCTCAACTCAGTATCGGCTCAAACCAAGCCGCAGGAACAACGCCTGGGCTGAGCGCTGGGTGCGCACAGATGCCCGAGGGCCCGCTCCGTGTTCGGGGCCCCAGAACGATCTGGTGACGGACCGCGTGGTGAACTCGGAATTCCACACGACCCCACCGCGCGGTCCGTCACCGCAACCTCGGAGGCCCTGGTCGCCCGAGGCGTCCTCGGAGAACGACCCGAGTCCCAGAACCATGCGGCGACCCTGGATCACCACTGACTTGCCGCGTTGTGTGGTCACCACATCCTTTGGGAGCTTCCAGCGGGTGCGCGCAGATGCCCCACAGGGCCTGCCCAGCGGGGCGCCCGCGCAGCCACGCGCGGCGCCGCCACGAGCGGGCCCCGGGCCAGGGCGGCGACCTGCCCAGCGCACTGCTGTGAGTGAGCTCCCGCGCAGGCGC